CCAACACGCAGGCCGTCCTGCGCTTGGCTTGGGGTGGCCTGGCAAAAGGAAATCAATCGTGCAACAAGCCGAAACAAGTGTCGTTTCAAAGGAAATCATCAAAGTTACCGGGCCTGGGCCCGAGTTTTCAGGGGCTTGGGGCCCAGGGCTTGGGGCCGGGGCCTCCAGGACCTTTGGAGCCTGGTCTGACCAGTTTTTTGTCGTTCTGAAAAAGTCTTTTGGTGGGAGGCAGGCGAAGGGGTGGGAGACGGCTGAAACGGCTGCCGCGGAGGTGGGGGCCTGGAGGGAAGCGGGTACGGGATACCCCGCCTACCCCCCCCTCCCCCGACCCCCCCCTCCCCCGCGTTTCTAAAAGGGTTTTCACCCTCTCCGTTACTGAAACCATCCAACACGCCCCCCAGGGTCGGCGGATCCTAAACCCTAAATCCTAAACCCTAAACCCTAAAACTCACTGCCCGCCACCAGCTCCCCTAAAACCCTAAGCCCCTAAAACCGAGGCTCTCGCTGCCAATCACCAGCTCCAGTTTCTACGTCGCTGCCCGGGCTTGTTACAGCAAAACACCCTGAAGCAGGGCTTAGGGGTTTAGGGTTTAGGGTTTAGGGTTTAGTACAGCAGCCTCTGGACCCTAAAAATGTGTAAAATAATGTCCTTTATGTCTATTTTTGGTGGTTCGGGGCCATTATTTTACATACTTCTGGGGTTCAGGTAATGATTGCAAAAATGCTGGTCCTGAACTCCTTGTATAGTCACGGGATGGGGTACCTCAAAAATACCTTTGCGTGACATTGGCTTAGGGCTTTCAACTTGTGATTTGAAGGTTTGATTTTGCGAGCAGAACTGCTCAACTCCAAGCCAGGTCATAGCCCATGATTCTCCTTAGAAACGCAAAACTTTAATGCAGTGTAGGGTTTAGGCTCACCCCTAAACCCTATACCCTTCGAATGTTGGACCGTAGACCGTTCTCGCTTGAAGACTTCTTTGTGATTAGGGGTATATTTGCTGAGTTTCCATCCTCAAAGCAGCCATTCTTTGACTAGGAAATCAAGCTTAATTCCGATTTTAATTTGGGACTTCTTGATAGATAGCTCTCATTTTGTAGCGACTGCTTTAAATTCACAAAAGCCGAAAGTTATCCAGGAAGCCAAGGGAAGGACTAATTCCAATTCAATTTCTTCTGGGTGCGCTTGACGCTTCCCTTATGACCTTCTCATCGAAACAAGATAGCGAGGACTTCGTATTTGCTATCTAAAGTTTCTGTAGCTGTTGTTTGAAGCTTTTTCATGCAAACCGCAGTGGAAAAAGGTAAAATAGCTAGGAAATGGAGTAGACTCCTCTTGTTTATTCTGTGCTATAGCCCTCATTTGCATCAGCGGTTCCTGGCTTAGGGCTTAGGGTTTCTTAATCAGTGTGCCCTAGTTCGGCACCTTTAAGAGTAGCCTTCCCTTGCACAGTCGTCTCCCAGGGTTTCAGGCTTCCAGATTCATTGTAAATTCTCAGTGACAGCTTTCAGCAATGATTGCTTACTAGCACATTGTATGTTACACCACTTCGGTGTAATACACTGACCTAGAGAGAACTCCAGGCGGGCTAAAGGCACGCCGCATCATCGTTGAGGGTGAGGTTTGTATGCATGATGGGCCTGGTCTTGAGAATGGCAGGCTTAGGCGATCATGATGGAAGGTACAGAGATTTCTGCGCGTTCTAGGTTGGGTACTGCCCCCCCTCTCAGTAACAGTTGGATAATAAATATAATAGGGTTATATATAGCCCTTAATAGTACCCCTAATATCGACTGTTACTGGGTGGGGGCAGTACCCAAGTTCTGGGGGTTGCGAATACTGCTAAATCCGCAGACTCTACAGGGATTGCAATTTTCAGTTCGGTGTCTTCACAGGGCTCCTGGATCAATCTGGACTGATAAGGCTTCTTCTCCCTAAAGCTAAAACCTGATGGCCAGTTAAATCTTAATGATGGATACTGGAGCATGGCAATGTTAGTTTTGGAGGTTGGCGCTAATTAGTCCCTGCCTCAATCTCTCTCTCTCTCTCTCTCCCTCCCTCTCCACTCGCCACGTGTATTCCTGAAATATCTAGGGTGTTTCTGTTTCCAGCAACCGCTATATGAGTTTCTCAAGCGCCATGGTCTTCTTCTGATGTCCCCACACGCCAGGTTTCCGAAAGGGCACTTGTTTTGACCAAACACCATACGCTAATCTTATACTCCGAGGTTGCAGAACACACTCAGCACCACTGACAAGACGACGAGTGCTGCCAGCACTGTGGCCACGACAGGCGGGACCACAGTTTGGGGTGATTTTTCTTGAGCCATGCTGCTGTTTCGAGGGAGGGTTTGTTTCGGAGTTTTCAGGTGTATGGAGAGACATTGCCATTAGGTATGGGTTCTGTATTTGGGTTTCTCAATTAGGGATCTTTTTTCGCCAGGGGGGGGGGGGTCCCACAAAGTAAACACGATAGAAGCTCCTATGATGCGGGACATCATCAGGACCGTGTGCCATGCAGGATTCAGTGTGCAGTCGTCATGCTTAAACCCTAACCCCTAAACCTTTTGGTGATTTTGAAGATGATGTTGGTACTGTAGTCGCGCAGAAGAAGAATCTAAAAAAGCTTGGCTCGAGCTTCTTGGTTAGCAGACAGACAAGGCTTCAGCTCGTATAGCCATAGGCCCTTAGCTTTAACACTAAGCACTCAGGGTTAGGGTTTAGGGTTCAGGGTTTAGGGTTTAGGGTCTAGAGATTCCGAATATCTTGCATTCATTTTACGTAAATGCCTGGGCGCTTGGCAGAACTCTGAGGCATACTTGATCGTTTTGCAGAGTACTGCCTCCCTCCACCTAGCATTGAACAACCTCCGCCCTAGTGCTGAAGGCGTTGTCCAGTGTATCTCAGGCTAACATTGCGAATATGTATTATTGGAGGGTGCAAGTCCAATGGTAGCTATTATAGCAGAACTCCCCATCACTTCCTTATTGTCCCCGTACAAGCGAATGACACATGTGTTGTTAGTTTCCAGCTGAAACCCCTAAACCCTAAACCTCAACCCCAAACCCTTCTTTCTTCGCGGGAATGCTTACTCCACCCCGACGAGGCACACCCCTCTCTCCTACCGACGATGGGGTGTCCCTGTTTCAGGGTTGGGGGGCATCCGTAAGGGGGAGGGGATGGGTAAATAGTCCCATGACGTCTGGCAGCTGAAGCACGTAAAACGATGGCGCGCAATCCAAAACAACAGGCTAACTACGATGACACAAGGCTGTTAAACAAGACCATAAACTGACCAGTCTATAGTCCCCCTTAGGTAGATAGAATATGGTTTGGGGCATATTATAATAAGATCCCCATATATCCCATATTCTATCTACTTACGGAGGACTATATGTGTTGCGCCGATCAAGGTTGAGTAGAAACTTGCTTGCCGCCCATGTATCCCTACATTGGATGGAAGACCTTGCACCACTTGCTATCCCCGAAGTGTTACAGACACCCTTATCTGGGATATATGTGGTTGTACAAGATTTGCTCCATCAACACTAGGGTCGCTACTCCCTAAACCCTGAGCCACAAACCTTAGACCGTAACCCTAAATCCTGAACCTCATGAACTGGCTAGAACCCCTAAACCCGGAACCCCCTAAACCCTAAACCCCCTAAAGCGAAACTTGCTTAACCCTGAACCCCCTAAACCCTAACCTCCCTGAAGCCTAAACGCCGCGAACGGTCTTCTGACTGCTAGGCCTGCCTTCGACTACTGCTGCAAGCGGGTCGAGGTGCTACTTGTTTGAGGGACTCGGAGATTACTACGGTTGGTGGGTTTAGGGTTTAGGTTTTAGGTTTTTAGGTTTAGGGTTGGTATGTGGCAGGGGAATATGGGCACTTGCAGGAATTTCGGTTTAGGGTTCAGCGATTAGAGTTAAAGGTATCATTTTGTACCGGGGGAAGTTACAGTATGGTATTCCAATTAGTATACAGTAGGACTGCTTTCTCAAGAATTGCAAGAAGGCTTTTCTCGGCCTGTTGTAGGATCATCCCTGCTTTTTGGTAGCAAGAAAATAGCGGAAACCCCCAGGTGCTGCTATCCGAACTGTCGGGGCCCCCAGAGCTTTTGCAACACGGAGACTGAGAGCCCATTCTGCACAAGCTCTGCGGAAAACTGCCAGCAGTGCGGCGGCGAGTTGTGCGGTGGTGGTAGCCACTCGACTCTCTTTCGGCTTCAAGGTGTGTAGGGTTCCAGTGGTTGAGGGCTTGCGGTTCTAGAATATGAAAGCGTTAGCTTTAGGGTTTAGGGTTTGAGTGTTTTGGGGGCATTGTTTGTGGGGAAAAGGCACTCACTAAGCAGTTTTCTTGTTGAATTTACACGTGTCGCCATTGCAGTTCCAAGCCAGCTGCATTTTTGCTTATAGCCTGGGCGCATCTTCCCCCAAACCAAGATGGGACCTCCAAGACAGACTACCGCATGATCTGCTTGTAGCCCTCATATACCCAGCTGTATACCCATGGGGTCCCGAAGCGTACCCCAGACCCCTGATTAATAAACCCCCTCGGCTTACAGTAACAGGGACTATAACAAGGATCCTACTATGTACCCTAAACCCTAAACCCTATTCATGGGTCTACAGTACCCTATCTTCGGGAAGCTCCCAGGTCAGACCACGGCCGCGCCCCCTTCCTCGACGACCGGAAGAACCATCCCAGCCTCGACAACAACGACTTCTGAAGGCTCCCGGGATGAGGGTTTAGGGTTTAGGGGGTTATATGGGGATTCTATAGGGATTATATAGGGGATAGGGAGAATGAAATAGAAAACGGAAACTACTATAGCATATTAGGGTATAATATAGGGGTTATATAACACAACGGGGTGTACAGGGACATAGGGGGTTTAGGGTTCAGTGTTTTGGCTTTAGGATTCAGGATCTCGTTATTTTTCGCGTTCAGGGTGTCGGGTTGATGGTTTCGGGGATGAGGGCATACCTTACCTAGACCCAGGATGTCTTACTTTCTTGGGGATATACCCTACACATATGTAGGACAGAAACCCAAAAAGGAAGGACATCCAGGGTCCAGGTACGAGCTCAAGCGCTGAAATTGTAAATCCTTCGGCACGAAGGCTCCGGGCAAGAAGGCATTGGCCCAAAGATGCCCAAAGCATGCAGAACATGGCCATGTTCGAATTTCAAGGAGCGCAGCATGTCCGTGTCTTTTGTGACCAGGCTTAGTGCTGAAGGTAATAGCACAACCGCTGCTGCTGCTGAAAAATTGTAGGGCACCTCTGGGCTTCTTGGATTCCATCTCAATTTGTGTGAGGACTCTCATCAGTGTCAACCTGAAAGCATCAACTTCCCCAACATCCCTAGACCTGAGTCAAGAACGCAACCCCAAGGGTCCAAAGTACTTAAGAGCCTCCGGCTCAGTCCGCCGACCCAGAGGCGGACAAATCGCGAAACCCTAGGGTGCACGAGACCAAGAAGCGCAACAAGGTTAGTCCAAGCTAGGCTGCCGGGACTCAGCAGCTTTGC